ACAAAGTTCTTTGATATCCAGCATTTCATATCATGGAAACAATCAACAGGAGAAAATCTGTCTGTCGCTAACTAACATAAAGTTGCGTGTCGTCAGCATAACAACGGAAATGAATATTATACCTACAGATTATTACCCAAAGGAATCACAGCTTATAAATAGAAAATAGGAAAATATTAAGAATTGACCCCTGGGGAACAGCACATGAGTGTGTGTGTGTGTGGGGGGGGGGGGGATGTCAGTGGTTCTCACCATGAAGTAGGGCAGCTGGTGCAGTCCTCACTCTCTGGACCCATGCACTGCAGACAGGTAGCATCACACAGGTGGCACTTTCCTTGACGACTCATGTACTCTCCTACAGACGGAGAGCGATAGCGAACAACAAATTTCATCATAAAGCGCTTTATTTCTATTCGTTTACCTGCTTGTGTATGCTCACTTCTTTCTTTTTGCTTGAGTGACTTGTGTCCTAGTTGCACCAATTATATCCAACAGTCGGTTGTTATTGTTTTCATTTCCGTGAAGGCCCAGCTTATTATCCTCTGACTTCTGGCATATCCCGCACAATAACAGTTACGGTATATCTCGTTTTGTTATCATTTCCTCGTTATCTTGTTTTTATGTTATGTGCAAATGCATTTCACAGGTTTGAAAACATCTTTGAAAACGTCAAGTTTGAAAATGTCAGTCAGGCATACTTTCTAATTGCGGAGTGCTTTTAGAGTAGACGCAGGTATGATTTGGATATGAGATTCTTTTTTTGGTCCCTTATGAGCTTGAAGACAAGGTGAAGATTCCCAAAATAACTCAAGACTCAAACAAATACAGATTATGACTGATTTTCATCATGAGCATGACGTTACAAAACCTCTACTCTACAGATAACAGAAACATGTAGCATGTTGTTTTTCACTCAACAATAAAATGTCTTCCTACATTCCACATCCTCCACTGTTGAAAATGCTGAAAATGTGTGTAGGTTTCGGGAGGTTGGAAAGTTTCTGTTGCAAAATGGAGTCCACGCTGGAAATGGAGTTTTGGGTGCCAGGAATCTTAACACCTGGCAAAGCAATTGTTGAGTCACTGACATTGATCGAAAGCATTACAGGTAGATATATAATTATCATTCCACAATATGCAGAAGTAGAATTCATACTTATTGGACTTGTAACATCATAAACTAAACATGTTTACTAAATAATCTTATCTTAAGCTGCATGCATACGTAAACTTTGCTCACATTCACCCTAGGCACACATAATATGTATATAAGCTATTGTGCACAAAGTTGCAAAAGGATTGAGAGAGAAGTTCCCAAAAAACCCCCATCAACCTTCAGCCTCACACTTAGCAACATTGAAAAGGGCCATAACAAAAGAAGCATAAACATTGTCTACTATTCCACCTTTGTATTAGACAAAGGTGACAGACACAGGCTCAGGCATAAGGATGGAGCTGTGCGGTTTTTGTGTGTGTGAGCATCCTTCAAGGAAGTGGCGAGATTGTCTATGCTCTCTGGCTCTCTGTGAAAAGCGCAATTGTTCCTTTCAAAACAAAAGAGCTTCTTTGTGTACAAACACAACAGGCGGTGGCTTCCCATTCAGTAAAGCTCTGCTGAAAACATTCAAACAGCCCCCAAATAAACGCCATCACTCTCACTCTCACTCTCACACACACACACACACACACAAATTGTCTCCCTGTCTTTCTGTTTGTCTTCCCCTCACTCACGCACACAAACAAACAGGGAGCCAAGTTCTCAAGGGACGAAAAGCCGCACAACTCCACTCAGCAAAAGCAGACACGGTGGACTCCCACTGCCAGACGGGAGAAGAATGGAGCGGAGAAGAAAGAGAGCCTGTCACTCAGGGGAGTAAAACTTTTCCTCTTTTATGGACTTAGCTGACCTTGTGAGGACATTGACAGTCTACTCTGTCAGGAGAGAGAGTTCTGTTGGCAGATATCACACTGACATCCACCACACCTGGTCCTGAATAATAATTCCGTGGCCCTTCCACCTCCTGATACCTGCACATACTTGGTCCAAGAAAGCAGGGGAAATTATATATTCACACATCCCGCAAGTAGTCAAGAGAATATAAACCACATTGCTTATCCAATAGTGTATACATTAACACAGGTAGGTGTTTCTTGTGCTTGACCTGTGAGGACATGTGTCCTCAGTATTTCAACCATACAAACAATTTGTAAGCCAATGCCTTGTTCAAGGGTAGTGTCAGAATTCACATGGCCCCCCACAGGATTTAAGTGCCATAATGTTAACTATGGTTACAATCAGCACTGCAGAAAGCTGGAGCCATGACAAGAGGTGCAACAGAAACATTTGTTTGGAATTGGGTGAGGACTGAAATCAGCATTTCTTTTTACATTTTTAATTAATGAGCGTAATGACTGTAGAAAAACATGCACGTCCAGAACGTTTTCTCCTCACACAAACCCTACCATGCAGAGTTTGTGTATCAATAATAGTACTGGTCACAGTTGGCACTGGCACTCGACACCTGTGTACACCCTGCGAATAACGCAGTTAAATCACTTACACTTCTTCAGGGTGCAAGAAATGAATACGACAGTGTAACCTTCACAGCATCAATGAGCTCTAGCAAAGAATAATTCTAGCAGAATACATTTACTCAAATGTTGGGGCACGCCGCAGCCCTTTGCCGCATCTCTCTCCTGTCTAATATCTATCTAACATATAAAAAAGATCCTGCGGTTGCATATTTGCCAATGTTATACATAATATACCAGTTATACAGCATGTATAACAATAGAACAAAAGACAGTTGTATGTATGGGGGGGTGACAGGGACTTTGGCTTTAGTTACTTATAAAACACCTATTGGAGTATCTAGAATGACTGAATACTAGCATTGACATATTTCTGTGAAGGCTGATGTATGTTCTATATTATTACTTATACTACCATCATCACTATATACTGTGTCTAATGGGTTAAAATGCAACTACCCATAAGAAGCATAATTGGATCGGTTTCCTCCTAAAACAGAACTGATTCTGTGGTAGTATATGTTTACATTATTTGAATTACAGCCATGGCATTGTTCATATCTACTGCTACAATATAAATAACTGCTGTATGGCAATAAAAGAAAAAGTGTAACTCAAAAATAAATTCCTACATTCAGGCGTTGCACCTATAATAGAGCAGCAAAAGCTTGCATCGCTGACCTGTTTTTAACTTCCACCTCATTGTCAGTGCACGTCTCCCTTTAAGTGCCCTGCCTCAGGCATGTGGAACTTTCTTTTAATCAATCTGATCAAGCGCTGAAAAACTGAAAGTGTCTGAAAGCAATGATCTGAATTTCAATGATGTTTTCCCTTTTCAATACTTTATCAAATGAAATTTTAAAAATAGAGTGAAAAGAAGGAAACCTAATGTTCTGGAAAGGAAGTGAGAAGCTGGTGAACGAAAATGCTAATGGATGAAATATTTCTGATTAACACACCGTCAACATAATCAATGAAAACTGAAAAGAAAACAAAAACATGAACAGATTAAACATTTTAATAAGAACACTTAAGTAAAAAAGATTTTCAAAACTAGGACTTTGAGTAACATTAATAATGCATTGTCACAGATATGTCACAGGTAAACAATAAAAACAGCTTTTATATGAGAGGTGTGTGTGTGTGTGTGTGTATGTATGTGTGTGTGTGTGTGTGTGTGTGCATCTACCACACAAACTAAAGTCAATTCAAGTCATCTTAAACAATGACCAAAAATAAGTTTTTGTTAACCAAAACAGGGGAGTCATCAATCTTTATTACAAATCATCAGGAACCATAACCAGTCGACAGTACAACAATTCATCTAACACTGTAAATGCTCATGGTGCAGGTGTGAAAACCCACACAATTAGAATAAGAATCTTAAACATTATATTTGCCGTTCTTTATCAGAAACCAGCACCACCAGAAGAACCTTCTAGTTTCATCAGGTAAGGTTCACAGACAAACAGACAGGAGGAGAAACCAGACATCTGATGTCTGTTGGCTTGAACACGAGTACAGCTGTGGCTCAATATGATTTAACGTTTCAGACACATTCCTGGTTCTGCAGTGATGCCGTCAGTTCACTTTGAGTTCAGACAGATATAATGTAAATAAGAAAAATTGATTGACTCGTTTGTTTTCAGATTTTTCTTGGGTTGAATGAACATAAAGATCTACTCCCAAATGTATTTCAATATCTACATTTTGAACCAAATCCCTTCTCTGAAATAACTGAACGCCAAACCTCCACAGCTCTTGTTTTCACCACATCAGCTTGCGGTCCGCCTGGCTGTCGGAGACCTTTACCATTTACATGATAACGACAGAATAGTCTGTGCCGATCATTGACCTTCTGCGTTGAAAGTGGAGAGCAATACTTCAGCCGACATGCATTGCCATCAATAATGGAATGGATAATGGAATACCGAAGAGTAGAAATTCTAAAACTTTATTTGAGAACAGTAACATGTAGGGATGCACCGATACAGATAAAATTCCCTTTTTTGTCAGGGTTACATATGGCATGTGGAAACCAACAAACACACAGAATAATTGAAGTTCCCTGTCACAAATATGAGTTATATTTTTTATATTTTATGTAGTGACAACAAATATTGAATTGTTCTGTCAGAGTAATGGATGGAATCAATAGTCAGTTTTGGGCAAAAGTTTAGAATCCAGAATCTGCATCATGAGTGAAAAATGGGCATTGGTGCATCCCTAGTACCACAAATTCATTATACCTCACTGCAGCGTTTCCTTCCCTGCAGAAAGCTCCGGAAGGAATGACTATCGACTTGTCTTCTCGTACCTCTGGAATGAATCAATGCTGTCTGGGCTTACATTAAGAATTAATGGCATTCTCCTACGCACACCAATAAAGACAAACAAACACAAACACACACACACACACACACACACACACACACACACACACACACACA